TCCGCTTCCTCAGCTGAGCTCAGGAGTTTCCTCACTAATTAAAGGGGTTTATATACAAATTTGAGTAGGAGTGTTCAGAAATCAACAGCAGTCTCCCGAAATTTTCTCAAATTTTGCATATTGTCATCGACACGTATAGTTGACCATGTGCATGAGCATAGTCTCACACTGTCTCTGGGTTTATTTTTCATTATTTTCCGGTAATTTACCGGGAAAAATGATGAAAATATCAACTAAAACTTTTTGGCAAAATAAGGATTTCAGAAATACTGTCTGTTGTTTGCGTGATATGCCCGACGACTCATCTGATTCCTCGACGATGTCCTCAACGGAGACCTCCTCGAATGGTGAATCACTGCGGCCCATAACCTCATACCGCCACAAGTTGGTCCGAGACCTCCACTGGGTATGCAGTTCGCATCATCTGCTCTCTGAGGGCTCCAAGAGGGCCACTAACGTCCCCACTTGGGGAGCCTCTCAGTTGGACTTTGTCGTTCGAAGGTCTCAAGATTGGTTTGCGATGCTTGATGATGACCCTGAAGAGTTGAGGGAATATATACAGTCGCAGAAAACGTCACACAGACTCGGTCACTATTTTACCTGTCTACTGCAGTATTTGTTGGAACACAACCCTGTGGTCAACGCGAAGAACGTCTGGTGTCGACAGGGGGTCCTCAGCGATGAGAATCATGGTGAACTCACAAGCTTGAAATTCTTAGTAGTGCGCAACAAGACTTCCTATGATGATGACAACATCCCTGAGCGATTTCACCTGGAGGCGTCTATTCACTTCAGCGTGACCATGTCCCCAAAGGAGACCGACGTCTTGGCCACTCGCTTCAGCGGCCCTTTCCTGTACGAGAGTCTAGCATGGCGAATCGTAGAGACCCGTCGAAAGCTGTCGATTGCTGAGCATCCCATTGTCAAGCAGTGGTTGGACGAGAAGTGTGGTGGTGATGTGGAGCACATGTGGCTCCTTCGAGGATGTGTCTTTTACTCTTGGAAAGTTTTCCGGAACTTATCGCAGTTCAAGACCCCCAAGTACGAGCTACTGGGCCAAGACCATCCCAAGGGCTGGTGGGTTCAACAGGACTCTGAAGAGGTCCTCGGCGACATTCTCAACTACTATGGCGACAATACCAGGTTTGCTATGATCACCCACAAACGATATTGGATGTCCCCTAGCGTTGGCTCCGATGATGGCACTGAGTTGGTGGGAGATGAGACTATCGGCATTGAACCCGTCCCTTTGGTTGGTCTGGAAGGAATAATCAAGTCAATTCATGCTTTCACTGAGGCGAGCTCCAAGCGCCCTGTGATGGTAGCAGTATGTATGCCTGATGATGATACTGATGGTAGATATGTTGAAGTCAGCCGTGGTTTTATCTTGCCTACCAAATGGGTGGTCGAAAGGGACGTATCGTCGTCCGAGTCAGAAGACTGTTGTCATGTTGAGACGAGGAGCTGTGCCGCATTCCAGGAGTCCCTGTATGAGATCTTGCGGAAGAGCGGTAGAGTAGACTCTATATTCGAGGCAGTGAAGGGCATTGACCTACAGGATGTTCGCATGTGTGATCAACCCAAGGCCCCGCCAAAGTTGAAGAAGCCTGAAGACCCTCTGATGAACTTGAACGACCGCAAGGACATCCAACAGTGGATTTGCTCGATAAGTGCCTGGCGTACTGCGTGTATTGCTCGACACCCCCCGAAGAAATCTGGTCGCGGTCTTGGTCGGGCTCAGTCACAGAGACTGCGTACAGCGATAATGTTCGAGCTCAACGAGTTGATGTGCGAGGAGGGTTCTCAAGCCGTGAGCGATATCGTGCTGAAACTGTGCTTGGAAGTGAACGATTTGGGTCAGGAGGAGGTCCATGCTATCCTAGAGGCTGTCGAGGGTCTGAGGAAACACGGATGGCGATGCACTACAGGACGAAGCCTTCTAGTTACTATCAACAAGTGTCTGGATGATGACTCTGTCTCTCCGATGGTCATTCAAAAAGTATGTCGATGTTTTGATGTTGAGCCCAGCAAGGTCTCTATTGAGAAAGCAGTGGAACGTTACGTTGCGGCTAGAGGTGAAGACACAGCTTACATTGCTGGGCTCAGACTATTATGTCAACAATGTAACAGCGATGCTCATATGAAGGCTGCTCAAGAGAGGCCAGATCAAGCACAGTTGTGGAACCCTGTGAAGGGAGCGAATTCGCGTATAGCATCCCATCACAGTCCAACTCATTTTGAGCCAATCGTTCGGGGACAAATGCCCTTAGTGATGTTATCATCGGAGGTTCCTGTCAAATGGGTGTCCTCTGAGATGGAGTTGGACGATTGTGTGAGGGATATATCACAGTACCGCACCATTGGCATTGACGTTGAGTGGAGCTCTGGACCGGGGGCAGCCCTTTTCCAAGTCGCCTCGGAGGACACAGTGTACCTCATCGACATGTTGGTGCCCGAGATCAGGCAGTCGTCGACTCTCTTCTCAACGCTTCGTCGCGTCCGGAGGGTTCTTGGTTTCAGCATTTCTGCTGACTTAGAACGGATACCGCAGTTGAAGGAATGCGGCGTTATAGACGTCCAAGTAGACAAACGCGGGAGTCTCCAAAGGCACGTTGCTGGTCAGCTAGGGGCTTACCTAGACAAAACTGAGCAATGCAGTGAGTGGGCTGACAGACCCTTATCGGAGAGCCAGAAGAACTATGCTGCATTAGATGCATATACACTGCTCGCCCTAGACGCCCATATTCGGGGTGTACCTGATGATGGTGCCCTTGGGCCAAGCCTCTTTGATTGAGTACACTGTATGTATTGGTTTATGGTATCGTATTGTTTCTTCCTATGATCTCAGTCGATACTTGTAAATTAGAGAAGGGAACACTATGGGAGTCGCACAGAGGAACCGTATTGGTACCCTGCAAGATGCCGATCTACATCATCAAAAGCTGACCATCCTCACACAACCTTTGGAGAGCCTGAACAATTCCAACAGATAGTGTATTTTTCATTTGAACGAGGAAGGGTTAACAGTCTTGGAGATGAAACTCGTGTTGTGCGCCGCGACAGTGCCAGTGTCTCGGTCGGTGGGCACAGCCCTGTGATGAAGAGTGGATCCTGCGAAGAGGGTGTGAGATGGTCTCCTACTGCTCGTCGTGGCGATGTCTGTGCTAAATGAATAACGCAACCCAAAGCTCATCGAATGGCTAGCACATCGGCATCAAGGCCAACTAAGCCGGCGTTGAAATTTGAACTGACACACACATTTTAGTGACCAGATGTCACCATCTCATCCGACGTCACCATTTTGTCGGGCGTCAACAGGAAACGCAAATTCCGTCACAGAATAACTCAAAGGTTACTGATAGGACACAACAACGCTAGTTTAGCCGTCCTCTGACATTCCGTTCTGGAAACTCTCCCAAGCTACTAGTAATTGACCCTATGCATCTTTCACATGGCGAAAAGTCTGAGCGAGACCGGTGCCTGCCTAAGTGCATCGGATTTTCTATCATTGCCATGATGGGCTACGGACTTTTCAACTACTGTCTCGGGTACGTCTCGGATCGCCTAACCATAGTCATCTCGTATTCTCCCTCGCCCTAGGGGTCTTGATTGATCTCGCGGGCCCTTGTTACCCAAGACTGTGTTTGTAACTGAGTTTTCCACCGTTTGGCTCGGTCGGGTCTGTTCATGATCGACTATCTTAGTTACACTGGTGGCCTCATTAATCGTCAAGTTGAACCTGAGTATGTGCGGACAGCACAGTGGCAAATGTTGGTGATCATGTGGCTAGTCGCTGGCCTACCAGGTGAACTGAGAAACACTAGGAGTTTATCACATACACTGTAGCTCTGGTTTCTAACGCCTCTGTGTATTTCAAATGGTCGTCTCTAATTTCGTCAATTTGATTTACTGCAGGTCTAGCATGTTACGTCTCTCACGGGGTTGTCTGCGGCCGCTTGGAGTTAATCTGGAGCAAGTCGCTTCGCAGCGGCCCTGTCACTACGATGGCTAAGATTTTGGCTCTCTCTGGGGGAGTCATCCTCGCGACATCCTCTACTCTTGTCAATCAAGCTTTCACTCTGTCCTCTCCAGCTGACAAAGGTACGGCATCCCAGAGCCTTCTAGAGACCACCATTAAATACGTTCGCTAGCAGTTACCTGGCATTATCGCACGCCTCAGGTCCTGTTGCTGCTATAGTTAGTTCAACAGTTGTTACTGTGAGTTTGTACGGCCACTTTGTCTTCCATGAACGACTCGATCGAGTTCACACAATCCTTCTGATGATGGTAATTCCAGTAGAGCCTCGTAGCGTGACGCTACCTCGGTGGTCTCTTATCGCTGATTATGCTCTCTTCAGGTGGTCGCAGGAATGACCATTTCAACTTTCGGAACCTACGTCGCGCTGGCTCCTGGCAATGCATCGTCTAGTGGCTCTCACTCTTTCATCGGACCACTGTTCGCGATCTTGGCTATGATTGGTATATCAGCATTGACACTGCTGATGAGATACAACTCTATCGGTGAGATCGAGCAACAGCTGTAAAGTAGCTCTTCTTTGTCAGGGAACGTCGCTACACGCAGTGGTTTTTCGGCTCTGCTACTGTCGCAAACCTGTGTTGCGATCTCCCTGTGTATGGTTTTGATCGCTAGAGGCCAAACAACTTCGCGTGTTACTGGATTTGCTCTGGTCACTACCATGGTCGCGGGCCTCTCCCAGGTAGGCTATGATGTAGCAGCATGTTAGGAGTTGTTGTGTCAGTCGACTGGTATCTTCTTCATGAACGAAGCGTTGGCGTATCCAATGACCAGCTTGGTAAAAGTCATATGTTCGGCTAACCCTATAATTGTGTTGTTGTTGAACTTCTCTATCGATGGTTTAGTTCCGAGATCCACACAATCGATCGGCATGACTATCATCCTTCTTGCTGTGTTCTTGAGTGCTCTCATACCTCCTAAAGGACTACAGGCCTCAAGCAAAGAAGACGTGATGAATTGTGGTCCTCGCGATCTGGCAAACTCCCTCCTCGCTGAGCGAGTGATGCTGGTTTGACTACAGCAAGGGTGTTACGACTTGTAGCTAACGAGTAACGACGTCATGCTTACTTTCTAAACATCTTCTAGGGTCTGCTGTTATCTAGTTCGTGCTATGGTATTCTCCACAAATTAAACGCTTCTAATCGAGATGGGTTCCAGTCGAACTTGTCTCAATTTCATCTGTTGTTGCTTCTAACCATATCCTTAACCAATGTATTTCCATTTGACTGCCAACAAAAGTTTCATCACTTTCTGAGAATGTTGTAATTGTTATGTCTCCGGAGATCCGAAGCGGTTGAGTCAATACATAGTTTACCTTTCCTTATTGCAGCTTACGGACAACTAGAGGGTTCACCATCGATGGAAAGTCATACGAGAAAAGGCACTTGTAAACCCCAAGTCGGTTGAGGACATAGAAAAATGTCCCTTCGTATCGCATCCCATTGACACAGATCCGTATTTTTCACAAATTCATATATCGATCACTCATGACGACTTCCCCAACCTGGAAAAATCAAGCTTAAGCCCAATCTACTTCACGCATACTACAATAAAAACTATGCGGTGAAAATGAAGGAGACTCCTGTTTCTTGTGGCAATGTTCTGGCTAACTGAAATAACGCTAAATTGAGTTGCTAGCACATCGCTCTCGAGCCTAAGATGGCGACGGTGTTGTATTTTTGACTCACATACACACACTATAGCCACATTCCGTCTTCACCGCGTACGAGTCTGCATAGGCCATGTGTTTTCATCCAGACTCAATATTTTCAATATAGTTACCCAAAACTCGACAACAAATATCAGTCCGGACAAGAAACCTCAAAATGTGAAAATAGCGTTTGAGCGGTTTCTTCATAGAACGGCTAGCTCCGACGTTCATGCCGTAACGAATAGCAGCTAGTCCAGGACATAACAAATCGTCGATGAGAAGTGAGGAATCCTGGGTCTGCTTTAGTCGCTAGAGAAATGATGATTACAGTAATAGTAGACCGCGAGCTG